ATCTCTTAGTCCTAGTAGATGCTCTGGTCCTCCCTTGAGTCTGCAGGCCGCAACAACATTCTTGACAACCCCCCTCGGACTGAAGCCCTGCGAAGGGGGGGTCTCTCCTGGTCGTTTTATACTGTTCGTTTAATTGAAGAAGAGTTCTCCTCTTCCTGATGTCGCAGCACCGGAGGATCCACGGTGCCCATCTGTGCAAGAAGCGGGACAAATTGGCACGCCTCCGCTACGTCCTGTGAACCGCCCCGAAGAACGCATATGCACTTGATGTCTCTGACCACTGAGGCGAGGAGATATCCTTGCTTGTTTTCCTTCCTCTCAGCATACTCCCAAGGAAAACAACGTTCTGGAAACGGGGATAAATTGAGAGGATCACAAAAACGAAATCAACTGTACGCAGTGTCGGAAGCCACTCATATCCGCCAACAATGCAATAAACTGGAGGCTCGATTGGCAAGAGCCATATTCGTCATGTGCAAACTAAACTCGCATCGCAATAGACGCCAAGCTTAATCCATACATTACTTCGGATACGTACAAGCAAGGTCATCTACGAGAAAAGAGATCAGCAACGAGTGCAAGGCAATCTGCTCAACACGGATAAGCAAATCGCTAGCACCTTTCTCTCCTACTTCTTGAGCTGGCACAGAACCGACAGTAACCGATGTAAGCCCATCAACAACCACATTTACTATATGCCTCAGGTCTTTAATAGGTGAAGTAATTTTGCTCGAGAGATGTCTCCAGTTGGGATTTTGTTCATGGCTTCGATAATGGCGATTGATCAAACGACCTTGAATTTTTTGAATAAAACCGCGTTTGGATGCCACGCGATTACCATTCATTATCCCAGAAAATGTAGGTAGGGCAATGTTCAACCTCAATCCAAACAAATCCTCCGGTCCTGGGGATGTCCATCTTTCCTTTGTCAGACACCTCAGATTTTTACTAAGCCCTGAATTATCCTCCCTATTCAATACACCTCTCTCTTTGAGCGCCATACTTTCAGACTGAAAGAAAGCAACCATAATTCCCGTATTCAAAGACAGAGATGGGTCCAGTATATCAAACTACAGAGCTATTAACCAAACCATTATAATAACCAAAACGTTTGAGCGCATCGTGCGAGACAAGATATATTCCTATCTGTTCAACAAAGGCTTTTCCAGCGACGCGCAACACAAATTCCTAAAAGGTAAATCCAGCCTCTCGAATTTCCTCACCTTCCTGGATGTTATCACCGACAGACTGGACAGAGGTATCCAGGTTGAAGTATGTTATTTAGATTTCCAAAAAGCCTTCGACTCCGTGAACCACCGACTATTGAGCTAGAAACTTAGAAAAGCAGGAATCTCCAAGGCCATAAGCAGCTGGATAGAAAACCTCCTCTCCGTTCGTTCATTCACTGTCAAAGTCCGAGAGGCTTACTCGGACACTAGTTTCCCTACCAGTAGAGCGCCTCAAGGTTGCATACTCGCGCCTCTACTCCTTTTCATCCTCCAGAACGATGTCACCGAAGGCCGTAAAAATCCTTGTTTCCTCTGAGGTGACGACGATGAGTTGGTGGGAAACAATAGCCAACTAGACAACATCCAAGCTGACATCCACAAAATATGTAAATGATCAGCCAAATGGGATCTACCGCTCAATTCGCTGAAGAGCCACATGTTTTCAGGGGTCGCAGGTCCTTCAATCTTCGTCACCAACCCTCTTGGGATTCCGGAACCTCTGTCGTCGAAGAACAGTACGACAGAATTAGTGTTAAGAGTAACATGCAAATTTACCCCATCTGCAGCGCGTAACGCAGCAGCTGTAAAGGCCCGTAAAGCAATATTTTGTCTTAAAACCGCC